TCCTGGTTTTAATGTCCACACACGATAATATCATCGATCATCAGAAAACGAATTCCCTTGATATATATAAGTTTCGACATGATTCGAGTCAAGTAAAATATTATTAAGATCGCGCGATATAATTAATAATTTTTCGCTGTTCAGCGTTGTGTGTAATGTGTATTAACTTACAAACGCAAACAATTTGTGTTCAAAGACGGGCTAAACTTTATTTTTGTTTTTTACCGTTTTTTCGTAAGACCGAGGAAATGTTAAGTCGTCCAAAAAATCTGTTTTTTCGTGCCGTTTAGTGTTGGCCCAAGTTAACAGTGCTGCAGTTCGCACCTTTTAGCTTGTCTCTAGAATTTTTTCTCATTTATATATTTATTTCGTGGCTGCATGATGGATTGAGTTATTTTGAACGTTCGCCATATTATTATTTCGTTGAACACTAAAAGAGCCGTTTTTTAAACGCATCCAGAAATATTTTAATGCACTTCATTAATATAATCCGATTAAACGAGTAACTGCCAAGACAGAATTCATAGTCGATTTATCAATAATTATACACAGTACCTATAGTTTGCGAACATTCTCAATTAGATATAAAATGATTAAACGTATTGATCATAACATAAAAATGTTATCTGACATTCATAACAAATTATTATACATTTTTAATTTATTTCCTTCAAGTTAAAGAATTCGAGTACGACAATCCTATCTATATAGGTAGATGTATTAAGGATGGATATATTTTTATTAATTGCGTTACACAATAAGTCTTCAGTGTTTAAAGCTTCAACAATAATCAGTTAAATTATGATCGTTATKTTTTTTTCAAGATGACTCTCTTGGACTTKTTGAAAATTATATTAAATTATATTTTTTATTTTCAACTCGTTATTTTCATTTCAATATTGACGAATGATGATAAGGTTTTAGTAAATCGAGTTTTTAAATATGTACTTACAATAACCTCACTGCGCATTTTATGATATATTAATTATAATCCTCCATTTATTTTTTACGTAAACACACAGTAATTAATTTTTATTTAACAAATTTTAAAATATTGTAAAAGTAATTAAATTTTCTCAGCACTTGAATTATTTGATATCAATGATAATAATTTGAAAACTGAAAGAATACTTTAACTCTTTAATAATATAATACTTATAATAAAATATTAAATAATTAACTGTTTGTGATTTCAAACGATACCTATTAAGGTCATAGGTATTTCCAAATAATTATATCCTTTATAAAAAAAAAAAAAAAACCAATAAAGTATTATGATGAAAAAAGAACAAAATTTTAATTATTAAAATCGATTTAACAGTATAGAAGACCACACACGTAATTGAATAAAGTGTCCACCGACCAATTGAATATAAATCACAAACATTATTATTATTTACTGTGATTCAATCAAAAAACAAATTAATATTGTATGCCTATTTT